TATATATATTATGCTCATTTTTTATAATATTACACTTTAAAGGAAGATATTTTGCATGTTTTTTGTTCCATGTACAAGAAATGAACTTTTTTAAGAAAATTAAGCAAAAATGGTGTAATTTGGAGTTAAAACAAACAAGAAAGAAAATTTTAATCTGACACATTTCAATATGTATTTATATGTTTAATCTCTTTTACATTTATCACATGTTTCTAAATCAAATTATACTTTAAAGAAAGGTTATTTTCATGCTTATCTTGTATGTATAACAACTTGGAGCGAAATGGAGCTGAAACGGGGCGAAACGGTGGAGCTACTTGCAGAGTGTCGCCTAGACACCCAAACTGGCCCCTAGGCGACAGAAGTGGTTAAGGGGTGATTTTTGGGCGATTCTGAGCTATTCTGGGATGTTCTGGAAGATTCCAAGCAACTTACACGCCCCACAGAGTAGTTAAATGAATCAAGGCACTTGAAAAGGCTTTTTGATGAAATGGTGTAGCTCTTGGAGTGAAGAGGTGTGTCTCTTGGAAAAATGAGGTGCATTGCTTCTATTTAAAATGGGAGGCTGGTGTCTCTCATATGAAGGGGATTTTTTGAGAGAGTTTTGGCATGAGTGTAGAGAGAAGATGGAGATGTAAATTTCCACCATGTCTGGAGAGATTGATGAGGGTTTTTGTGAGATATGTGTAAAGGAAATGTATGAGCATTGCATGGATCAGCGGGAGATATTATTAGAGGGATTTTAATTTTTTTTTCAGAGGGAAAAAGCAAAGTATTGTGTTCTTTATTATCTTATAATTATTGTATACACTTTCTAGTGAATTTTTTTTGTTTAATAAAGTTTTCTGTTGTGTTTAATCCATGTTTTATGAGTAGTTTTCTTTACTCTTTTCTTTTTATATGAAGTAGTGACATAAGTAAAAAATTTTGTTTCAGATAGAATTGTTTTTGTTCTAATGTGATGAGTAATATCTCCTTCGTTTCATTGACATAACTTAAGTAAACTAGAATTAGCCTAAAGGATTTCTTACCTCACTTCTCTGTGGGATCGATACTCAGGTTTTTGAAGAAAGTTCTATATTACTTGAAACAATAAATATAAATTGGGTCAAGTTATTTGTCATCTTTTGGAAGTTAAATTACTGTGTAATTATGAGTCGGGTCATGAATCCTTCACAATATTTCTTTATATGGAAGCTCCTACATAAATCTTAATTACGGAAGATATTCTTAAACTCAAGGGTCTTAGAATCCCTTCTTGATGTTTATTATGTAGAGAAGAAGAGGAAACTATCAATAAGCTTTTTTCTTACATGTAGTTTTGTGGAGAAAACCTGGCAAAAGGTTGTTGGACTTTTAAATAAAATCTGGAATTGGGGTAATTATAATGCTTGTGTGGATGTCTATGAAGAATGGAAGTCACTTGGGCATGTTTTTTTCACTAATTTATCATCTATTGTTTTTTGGTTTATTTGGTTTACTCAAAATAAGATTAAATTTTAGATAGAGATTCTGAATGATAATCATACTTTTAGTATGATTAATTGTTATATTTCTAATAGCCTTACTTTTCATAGTTATAGGGGAACATTTTTAACGCTGGAGGATATTTATGTTAAATTCAGAATTGATCTTAATCCTGGAGTTATTAGGATTGTTTCTGTTTGCTGGTCTAAATCGTATGTACCTTATATTAAAATTAATATAGATGGGAGTTGGAAAAAGAATAAAGTCGGAGTTTGTGGTGTTTTTAGGGATTTCTTAGGTTCAATTATACATTTGTTTGCTTCTTTGGATATTCTTATATCCCTTTTAGTTGCTGAAGCGTATGCTATTATGTTTGGTTTGTTGATTGCTAAAAAATTTGGTTGGAAATTTATAAATATAGAAACAGATTTGTCATAGCTTTGGAAGAATTGCAGGTGGAAGGAAGAGCATCATTGGAGCATAAATATTTAAATAAGGAGGACTGAGGCTATAACTGAAGGCTTGAACGTGTGTTGGACCCATACTAGTAGGAATGGAAACAGAGTGGCTAATTGGGCAGCTAAGTCAGGGAGTTTTCTCACTTATACTGTTGTTTCTATAAAGGTTCCTCAGGTTCTTATACAGTTTTTTGTGCTAATTTACTTTAATTGCTTATTTCTTTTTTTGGGTACATTGGAGAGGTCAGTTGTATTTTCTTTTTTTCTGGGAAAGGAGCTATAGATTTTTTTTCTGTTCTTGTGGAGTTGTATGGGGTGTGTAATGGGTTAGTTTTGTCTTTTGTTATAATTCTTTTTTTTTTTTGTGAAATGAAATTCCCTACGATTTGTTAAAAAAAATTAATTTAGTTCATTTAATTTTTGACATATTTTCATTCAAAAAAATCCATGGATTTGGGAAAGCTTGATATTAATATTTGAGATTAAGTTCAAAATTCTAAAGGAATTTAGTACAAAGAAGAATTTTTTTTATTGGAGATTCATTCAAAATATTTTATGGTGAGGGGGTTTTAATTTCCAATCTTGTAAGAATTTTTTTTTGAAAATGAAAAAGTTGGAGCAATAATTGTCATATTGAGTAGCCTCTTGAACATGAATGACTTAGATCCAAATTTTGATCTTCATGAGGACCCCATTTTTATTGTCATTTATTTAAAAAATAAATGCCTGGTCTCATGATCAACTCTTTTTCTTTTTCCTTTTCTTTAATTTTTCATTTTCTATGTTTTACAAGAAAAGATTCAATGGAGTTCTTACTTTTGTCAGAGCAACAAACCAACCTTCAACTCAAGACTTGTCCTCCGAGCTAGTCTCCAAGTAAACGCTACAAATGTTTAACTCTTCAAGTGTAGTGAAGAAGCTATTGTAGTTGGTGTTTAGTCCTTTTCCAGAGATGCTCTACAACTTTACATGATTTTATCATCTACTCATATGTTTAGAGAGGTGTGAGATTTCTAAAGCATTGTATGAAGATTGTCGTCACTATCTAATAACATATTTTCTTTTCTTTCACCATTTCTATTTTTTTTCCTTGTTCTTAGCAATTCTCCTTTTTTCCTTTTATATCTCTGAAGAAGACTCTCTAATTTCCAGGTTCTCTAAAAAGGATTTCAATAAATGTTTTCATATTAAAGTACATTTTATTCTAGTTTAAGAAAGTTTAACTTAACATAACATGTGGATGAAGAGGCTCAAATCCATATAAATTCGAGATAACTTGAATGAACCACATTTTCAAGAATTTAAAGTGGGGAAAATGGACCAGCTATCACAGAAAGGTAATTATTTTTCAAATAAAAGTAGATACCAACAATTTTATTAAGAAACTTTTATCATATTTTATAAGCTAAATCATGATGTTTTACCGTATGCATCTATAAATATATCTTGTAAATGAATATTTCATAAGGGTATAGGTTCTTCATCAAATCCAACAACCTTCTATATGTCATAGCTTCCATCTTAGGTGATAAGATGTCTGCCACTATAAAGTTTAAATTTGTGATTCTTTATGTGGAGAAAATTATGACAGGTATATTCAAACCAAATGGTACTTGAAGCTTCTCTTTCTCAAACATCAAAAAGTATATGATTTTTCTTCAAGTAGAGATAACTTGGGTATAACTTGTAAAACAAGTCCTTAAACTCATTATACACATCTACAAGTAGGGTTTTCAAGTTTTATCTTGGATGCTTTTGGTGATCACCCTTATTTTATGAAATATTCTTTAGATAATCACAATGTTTAAGAAGATTAACGAGCAAAATTTTATTTCATTATTGCTTTGCAATAGTCTTAATTACAAAGAGCAAAAAAGTTAACATCAAATATAATAGAATTAACAAAGCTTCAACCATGTTTGATGACAAAGTCATCAACAAAGTGTGAACTTAATATTAGGTTCAAAGGAAGGATTTAGTTATGCAATAAAAATCTTTTGTGATTGAATTGCAAAAATAAAGTCAATAACGAATTGATTTTAGATTTTGACTTTCTAGAGCATCTTAGATAAAATGATGTTACGATCTTCTTAGTTTGCATCACCAAAGACAATACTAATAGAGCATTGTGTTGGTTCTCTCAAGTATTTTCTAGAGATTATAATGGTCATATTTTATAGTTTTTTTTTTCTAACTGGTACTTGAATGTGAAGCATTTTATAATGGTATGTCCTAACATCTTATAGAATGGATAGTTGTTGGGATCTCTATCTCTTCCCACTTTTTCAGGTCCGTGAACTTTAGAAATCTTAAAGTCTAGTATTTTCAATAGTTTCCTGAACATCTTTCTCACATCTTCATCTTTAAAAG